CCAGTTGCCCCCCCCCCCTCATTCATACAGAATTAAAGTCACGATGACCCTTATCGTGAGCTCATCACAACACCCTCCCCCCCCTCGCCCCCGCTATCCCACTGCACGCGAACTCGCCGTACGGCACGCGCCACGTGCCTAAAATGGCTTGCCGACACGTGCACCCGACCTTATGTGACACAACGCGATGTCATCGGGGACAGAAATTGCAATCGGACAAGGCAGAGACAGACATTGTTTAGTCTCAATCAAGAATTGATCGTGCTCGGCTCCAGTGGGATCATTTTGACCAATCAATTTGTGTCATAGAAAGTTGAATATTTATTCATTTAAATTTGATACGAATATGAGGGCAGAGATAAAATACAACAAACAAACAAAAAGCAAAAAAAAAAATAGAAAGGCCAAGCTTATAGCCCACCAAACAATGCTAGAACTTACCATCCACTTATGTTAATTGACCATCCAAAAAAAAGACTCCTAATTAGTGCCACACCCCACTCCCCACCCCCACCCCCCGATATGCCACCGCCCCTGAAGTGTATTACTATTCTCATGCATCATCCCCTTTAGAATCGCAAATGTATTACACTAACTATCTGAGTGAAACATAAGAAAATATTACGCGATATTACGATATGTTTACTAATTTCATTTAGCGCAGTTTTCGGAAATTTTATTTTGTGCAATCAGCGCCATCTGGTAGCGTTAGTGACATAGTTACAGGCATCATGATGTACTTTGATGTGAAAACAATCAAACCACTCAACATCTCACGGAAAGGGGAGAATCTGAACACCCCTAGGTACTCACACAATGCGATGCACTGCCAACTACACAGAAGTGCACATTTCATTATTTTAGACGGGTCACAAGCCATCACCGACTACGCCAGTGGTTCCCAAGTTGTGCTCCATGCGGCCACTCTCCTCCCCTGTAACACTACTCCTAAACAACATTAATTAGCGAGAGAGAGAGAGAGAGAGAGAGAGAGAGAAGATGGTAAGGCTAAAGGTATCCCTCATATAAATGGTTTCTATAAAGGCTATCCGGAAATTTGATCGAAAGAAATTTCGTCGACGGTAAATTGATCGATGGTAATTTGATAGAACATTTGATCGATTTTTTTTTTCCTTCAGTTTTTTCGTTAAAATTTTGCTTCAAATTTTCTCAACGCACAATTTTGTTTATTTATATAGTATAGTGCGTTCGAAAAGAAATCTGACGAAAATTTTAACGTGGGAATTGAAAAAAAGATTCCACCAAATTTCCTTTCGATCAAATTTCCGGTAGCCCTATAAAAGGTTCCGCGAATCAAAATACGCCTTCGCATCACATGAGCTGACGCGGTGACATAAGCAGGGGGAGAACGGCAAAGTGACGTCACAACACCATTGCTCCGGAGTGGACACCAAAATCACAGTAGTGCCCTGTAGTTCACGCTTAGATGCATGAAACAAGGCCCCTGTACTTTAATTAATCAACTCACCATTCCACGGTGGCCATTGTCATCTTTGCGGCCAACAGTGTTTTGGTAGCCGGGATGAAAAGTATAGTAATGTGAGTGAAGGAAATCTAATGGTTTGGGTATAGCTATTGTCAGCTAAACCAGGCCTGCATAACTCAAAATGTAAGACGGGCTGTAATACTTGGTGAAAAAAACTTGTGCCGGGGGGGGGGTGGGGAAGCTTTTCAGGAAATAATAAGAATAAACAATATTTCGCTCGCAAAGTGGGTGCTGGCGGACCACATGTGGCCCGCGGGCCTTATGTTGGGGAAGGCTGGGCTAAACCCTAGATTGGACAATGATTTGTTAGGTAAAAATAGTGATACAAGACCATTGATTGGACAATGATTTGTTAGGTAAAGAGACGTCCATAGTGATACAAGACCATTGATTGGACAATGATTTGTTAGGTAAAGAGACATCCATAGTGATACAAGACCATTGATTGGACAATGATTTGTTAGGTAAAGAGACGTCCATAGTGATACAAGACCATTGATTGGACAATGATTTGTTAGGTAAAGAGACATCCATAGTGATACAAGACCATTCATTGGACAATGATTTGTTAGGTAAAGAGACGTCCATAGTGATACAAGACCATTCATTGGACAATGATTTGTTAGGTAAAGAGACGTCCATAGTGATACAAGACCATTGATTGGACAATGATTTGTTAGGTAAAGAGACATCCATAGTGATACAAGACCATTCATTGGACAATGATTTGTTAGGTAAAGAGACGTCCATAGTGATACAAGACCATTGATTGGACAATGATTTGTTAGGTAAAGAGACATCCATAGTGATACAAGACCATTCATTGGACAATGATTTGTTAGGTAAAGAGACGTCCATAGTGATACAAGACCATTGATTGGACAATGATTTGTTAGGTAAAGAGACGTCCATAGTGATACAAGACCATTGATTGGACAATGATTTGTTAGGTAAAGAGACGTCCATAGTGATACAAGACCATTCATTGGACAATGATTTGTTAGGTAAAGAGACGCCCATAGTGATACAAGACCATTGATTGGACAATGATTTGTTAGGTAAAGAGACGTCCATAGTGATACAAGACCATTGATTGGACAATGATTTGTTAGGTAAAGAGACGCCCATAGTGATACAAGACCATTGATTGGACAATGATTTGTTAGGTAAAGAGACGTCCATAGTGATACAAGACCATTGATTGGGCAATGATTTGTTGGGTAAAGAGACTTCCATAGTGATACAAGACCACTGATTGGAGAATGATTTGTTAGGTAAAGAGACATCCATAGTGATACAAGACAATTGATTGGACAATGGTTTGTTAGGTAAAGAGACGTCCATAGTGAGACAAGACCATTGATTGGACAATGATTTGTTAGGTAAAGAGACGTCCATAGTGATACAAGACCATTGATTGGACAATGATTTGTTAGGTAAAGAGACGTCCATAGTGAGACAAGACCATTGATTGGACAATGATTTGTTAGGTAAAGAGACGTCCATAGTGATACAAGACCATTGATTGGACAATGATTTGTTAGGTAAAGAGACGTCCATAGTGAAACAAAAATATTCCAAAAAGTCGGAGCTAATATATTTCAACACAGTGACAGCCTCTTGCAGTAGTTTGTAACAAATTCTCGCCTTTGTCTCACATTAAACACTGCGCTATACAACTCCACCAGACAGGATTTCAACCAGACATCCAATTTATCCATAAGTCCACCACACGTTCCACTTACCATCCACTGTCCCTATGCCATGCCTTCCACCAAGAAACACCTCCTTGTCCCCGGAGCCAGCCAGGTTAGATTGGTATATGACACCCTCCTCCAAGTCACTCCAGTAAACAACCTGGTTGCCATAGTAACATCAACAATCATGACAAGTTTGACAACTCTTTAAGAAAACATTGACCAACCAACCTTTAATTTAATTTTTTTTTTTTTTTTTTTCAATGGCAGGGCCCTCACTTATAATACTTTTAAAAATTAGATAACAATAAAATTTGTTTTCTTATAACATATTTTTTTTGATTATTGTTTTTTTTTTTNCCTTTTTACAGTGGGTGATTTTTGGGGTTTTTTTTTTTTTTTTTTTTTTTTTTTTTTTTTTTCCCTTTTATTTAATTTTTTTTTTTTTTTTTTTCAATGACAGGGCCCTCACTTATAATACTTTTAAAAATTAGATAACAATAAAATTTGTTTTCTCATAACATATTTTATTTGATTATTGTTATTTTTTTTTGGATGAGATCACTTAGTTGAAGTCCACATATTGATTATATCAGTGTACAGGGGTGAAGCCAAACAGTTAAGACACCTACCTGTTTGATGGGGTCGTATGTGACTGAGTTAGGTTGAGAACTCCTCCCTACCAAAGTCAGGTAAGATGACTGAGCTCCCCTGAGAGAAATGAAGCCAACTTCGCCAGACTCCTTCAGTGTGAAAAATAAGAGCTCGCTTGGGGCTGGAGGTAAAAAAAAAATCAACAAAACAAACCATACCATTAGTCACATCCGCTGATATCTGTGAAGACAACTCCTACCACGTCCGGAAACACACTCTGAGTTGTTCCCCATCGGTGGTGAGCAACAGATCTTTATACAATTTATACAATTTATACAATTTATACAATTTATACAGTCGTCTTTTTTAAACTGTTGACAGACACTATGTTTTCATTTTAAGCAGTGATTTGAGCTACTTAATAAGAATTGTATTTGTTTGTTTGTTGTTTTTTTTTAAATTTAAATCTCTTCTTTCTGTGTGTGTGTGTGTGTGTGTGTGTGTCACGTGTGTAGCTCGTCACAGCAGATTGCCTGGGTCAGTTGTGTGTGTGTGTTTGTATGTGTGTGTTTGTGTGTGTGTAAGACACACATGTGGGAATATCGTTTGAGCAATGTTGTAAATTTTCAATAATAATGAGGGGCTGGTATTAAAGGCATAAGATTCCCTGACTTAAATCATTGACCAGATGTAAGCCACCATTGTATTCTATATCTATGACAGCTGCCACTGTGGAGGGATACTCTAACCCAGCCCCGGCGGCCATGCTGGATAAGGCATCCATTGTTTTCCGATACGTGGGACACATTAGGTCTCACCTTCGCAGCTCTTGGCGTTGAAGCTTAGAGCCAGGCCGCCGTAAGACGGGCATGCGCACTTGTAGCTGGTCCCACGGATGGGCAGGCAGAGGTGTGTGCACCCCCCTCTGTCACTTTGGCCGCACGGGTGGAAACCTGGCAAACGGCAAAAAATAAACATTTTTAAAACTATTTCCGGGGCAAGACATTCTTTAACTACCAAGCTCTGTCTGTTGACGGCATGGGTCGAGTTAAACATTCTATTTACCAGAGGGGGAAAAAACAACTTTTAAAACAGGTGTTACAACTGCCAGATGTTATTTGTGGCATTAAAAACTATATTATTAACACGACCTACTGGGTGGTTGTATGGCGGAAGCTGTCGAGGCCAGGCTGTAGAGCTCCGTTCCTGTTGTGATCACCATTTCTTTGGTCCACAAGGACTCCCGTGTAGCCACATAGGTAGAGGCAATCCTAGTAGTGTACCTGAAACAGGATGTAGTCAAGATATGATGATGACGATTTTTAAAATACATCGTCTATCTCTTACAGTCTTATACAAATAATAGTCACATTTATTTTTTTTTTTTTTTTTTTTTTGGGGGGGGGGGGGGCTAGACTCTAGCCGATAGAGAATAGAACAACAAAAGCAAACAAACAAACCTTTATACCTTAATAACTAAATCTATGTTATGCTGGTTAGAATCCACCAACCAATGGTGGCGGCAATGCCATAGACGTAAGTCGCTTGACAAAACAGGCACGGAAGAAACGCATCTTTTTAAGAATCCCAATTCATGCTACACCCCTCCACCCCCAAAGCAAGGCACCACACAATTTTTTTTTCACGCCCCTGAATTATATAAATATTCTGATACCCCACCCATTTTTACACCGCAAATTTATGACATCATATTTAAATCGAGCCCATAACAAAAGAAAAGATTACGCACCCAACGACCATGCGGTATTTTCAAGAATCTCCTTTAACGCAGTAATCAGGAATTTTACCTTGCGCACTACTGAACTCACCACTACACTGTGCTTTCTTTCATAACTAGAGAATTATATGTATTGATATATACATTTGAAACGGCTGTGGAATGTCATGCAAGGCGAAACAAAAACTAATAACTGGACTTTGTTTGAATCTTTTAAGAAAACTGGAAATGCGTTTCTCGAAAACATGTTATATCTAACATTTATCGTATGAATTTAACTCTGCTGATGTATTAAGAGTGTTCCAGCGTTCCTGACCCAGATGCCAAAATAGAACACAATTTAAAAAACGTGAGAATCCTGAACAGGAAATAAACTCTTATAAAATAATCAAAAGAATAAAAGAATGGATTTGTTTCATCAACATTACCCTTTTTAAAAAAATCGATTCCAAAGAGGCTGGAGAGTAAACAAATATTTGTATTTTTCAATAATGTTTTTTTTTCCAAAGCTAACGCCGAGAAAGTAAACATGTCACGCCGAGAAAGTAAACATGTCACGCCGAGAAAGTAAACATGTCACGTGACTTGCCATAGTTCTATAGCTTTATAATTTCCACAAATCATTTCAATGATATTTCCCCCAATATCCCGTTGAAATACGGGTGTACCAACTAGTATTTAAATACAAAATTTGTGCGTTCCACGTCATAAAAAATATTTTACTGAACACTAGAAATATTAACTCAAGATTATTATTATTATTTTTATAAGACGAGCTCAGTTATATTTGTATATTATGATGAGATCAATTCGTTTAAAAGTGACTGGTTGTCTGCTAGGCAGTCCAATCCAATACTCGCCATATGCTAATAATAGCTGTATTGCCAATGACGACGAGGCCGAAGACAGGATTCCCCTGAGAGGTCTCCACCAGCTCTCGTTCTTTTGTGACGTCACCGCCTTCGATATCGCATGACATGATCGTCTGCCTCTTGGAATCCACCCAGTACAGCTTCCTACAAGGAAAAAAACACGTCTGGTTAGTTTTACGGCAATCCGGTCATTTCAACAAAATCAAATCTGACTGCTCACAGTGCGCATGTCATGAGGAAACGGAATACTTCCTAATGGTCTTGCCCATAATCCTTAATACAAATTTCAAGAATTAGAACGACATACATTGTCCTGAATACTTTGACAACAAAACTTGAGCTAAATTGCAATATCACAATATGGTCTACCACTGACACACTTTCATCTTACCACCGACACACTTTCATCTTACCAACGACACACCTTCACGCACGTGATACTAACACTTCGTTTTCGAAGAGCCTTTGGGTGAATGATCCTTTTACAATCATGATTGTGTCTAGGACGTCCAATTCTTAACAGGCAGAATTATCATCATTTCAGGCAGTCAAAGCCACCGTCCACCAGTGGTGTGGTCAGGAGCCTACTTTGTCGATGCTCCCTTCTACCTGAATCTCAATTGGGTAACTGGCCCGTCTGTGGGACAACTTTCGTAAAGGATGCCCTGTTGTCACTATCATTGCTACACACGCCCTTGTGACAATTGGCACTATCCTTGCTACATACGCCCTTGTGACAAATGACATGACATTATTGACAGTGTTTTGACGCACCTGGTGGGGTAACTGACTGCCATCTGGTTGGGAAACACCAGATCTTTATCCACGAGCAACTTCCGGTCACTTCCGTCAAGCGCCGCTCGCTCAATCCTCCTGGTGCCCTTGTCCGCCCAGAACACAAACCTGGAGGAAGACAAACAAGCACGTATTCATTTAGGTTTGAACTTTTGGTGGGCAGTCATCGTACCAATAAACAGTTAACAATGTTTGCTGGACGCAATACTAGTAAATACAGCCACCAATATTGGCTAGTAAGAATGGTTGGGATAAAGGCTACTAATGACGGCTTTGACAATCGGCTAGTATTAATGGTTGCAATAAGATAAGATAAGATAAGATAAGATAAGAAAGATGCTTTTGATCGAAATAAGTGGAAAATTTGTTTTGACTGTATGGCACAAATTAATTTCAATCTTGAAAGTCTTTGAGTTTTGCTTTTTTCCCAAAATAGGTCTTTAGCAAAGTGTTCTGTGAATAATAATGTGGTTAAGCTACTAATGGCGGCTGTTAATGACAATCGCTAGCAACGGCTATTAACAACGGCTATTAACAACGGCTGCCAACGACGGCTGCCAACGACGGCTGCCAACGACGGCTGCCAACGGCTGTTAACAACGACTGCTAACAATGGCTTGTAAATACGGCGCCGTTAGTTTGTAAAATCGCTAAAGTGGTTTAGTCGAAAAGTGTTCGCATTTATTCTCATGCCCACTTTATCTCGCCCCTTGCCACACCTACGTGAGAACCGCGATTTCCTAGCTAAATAAATAATGTTGACCTTCAGTTGTGATATCCGAGACCACAGGCCATAATGTCCATCTGGACATCGTCCCGAAGTCTGCCAGGAGGTCGCTCTACAAGGTCCGTACTGTAACATTTGATACACGACTTGGGTCGAAGCTTTGTCTCATTTTTCTTTGTTTTTTTAGAGAATGATCGATCCATTGAGATTTTAAAGGCAGTTTCAATCAATGTTAAATGGATTATGGGAAACAATGGTTCTCGTTTTTTTTTGTAGGTTCAAAATATTGCAAGCTCCTACAAGAAGTTTGAAGATAATGTTTAAGAATGATATGTCAGCCATGTCGTATAGCTCGACTTAAGTTAGCACAAACACCATGCAAGGTTTAGAGCCAAACAAAAAAACAACACAACATTATTTGGTGTGTTTCGATCATCTCAGTTTATGGCCATCATATTCTAAACCAGCGGTTCTCAACCTGTGGGTCACGACCACTTTGGGGAGCGAACGACCTTTAAACAAGGGTCGCCTAAGACCATCGGAAAATAATTTTATGGGTGGGGGGTCATCACAACATGAGCAACTTTATTAAAGGGTCACGACATTCGGAAGGTTGAGAACCATTGCTCTAAACAAATGGCGGCTAACCTACCTGCCGCTCGCGGACAGAATGCGACGCGCGAAGTATAATAATTCCTGGCCACGGATGAGCGGTTTCTGACAATGAGACTTAATGGCCGTTCGTTCAAATTTACAAAGAAATCGAGTTTTAACAAAAAAAGTGAGTTAGGCTCAGCGGCGGCGCCAGTAAAGCTCCTAATTCAGACTAGTAACTTTGAAAAACATTGGAACAGTAACAAACACATAGACAAACACATAAACAAACACTTCACCAACAAAGGAGAAAAAAAAGCGAGCTCTGTGGGTCAAAAAGTTTTGCAACCACTGAGATATATGAACCAAAACTGCTCAAGATGTGAATGGGCCAGTCACCAACAGAGTTGAAGCTTTGGTCCTGAGTTGATGGTTTTGGTCCTGAGTTGATGGCTTTGGTCCTGAGTTGATGGTTTGGTCCTGAGTTAATGCTTTGGTCCTGAGTTGATGGCTTTGGTCCTGAGCTGATGCGTTGGTCCTGAGTTGATGGTTTGGTCCTGAGTTAATGCTTTGGTCCTGAGTTGATGCTTTGGTCCTGAGTTGATGGCTTTGGTCCTGAGTTGATGGCTTTGGTCCTGAGTTGATGCTTTGGTCCTGAGTTGATGCTTTGGTCCTGAGTTGATGGCTTTGGTCCTGAGTTGATGGCTTTGGTCCTGAGTTGATGCTTTGGTCCTGAGTTGATGCTTTGGTCCCAAGTTGTCTCTTTGGTCCTGAGTTGACCTCTTTGTTTCTGAGTTGACTCTTTGGGCCTGTCGGCAAGTCATGACTCACGACACAGTCACTGGCCAGCCGGACAGTAGAGTTAGACCTAAATTCTATTAAACTTAAATTTATGGAAACATTGCATATGGGATGTGACAACAGGCACTGGCTGATCAGAAAAGCGGACTGACCAAAGTTTGAGGTACAGAAACCAGCGACAATCTGGCGTCTGTGACGTGCATCACCATCTAGTTTCATTATATTCTGATGATCAGCGGGAGAGCAGCTGTGAGGAACTGAAACTTGGCTGATGAACCAGGCCGCCAGGAACAAGGCCGCAGAGAAAGGAACATAGCTGCTAAGACAGGAACAGGGTCGCAAAGGAGTAAACCTGAGCTGCTGCTATAAGTGCAGCCTTTACTAAAACTAACCAAGGAGGTCAGCAGCGACCTTCATGGCGACAAGGCAGAGTTGATTGGCGCATGCTAAAACATCACTCTCGGGGATTAGTAGTCACGAGTTCGACGAATCATCGAGTCACTCTTCGGCTTGGAAACATGTGTGTGTGGGAGGGGAGGGGGGTAATAATAATCCAAACCTCTTTTAATCATGACTGCTCACAGCTCTAGGCACGAATCGCGACTGATGCTCTGGTATAAAGAAGGAGGGAGACCTGGGTTGGAGGAGATAAGACCCCAGCCCCCTCAATCATTTGGATGACCTACAGGCCTGCAGGTGAGGCAACCCGTTGTATTACAGCCTGTGCCGTTACAGAGGGAAAGGCTCGATTCCAAAAGAATATGTACAAGCACGTGTCATGTGCGAGTCAAGTACAACTACACTGCTGGAGTCGGGAAAATGTTTATCAGTCAGAAAACACCAAGGGACATCTTTCTTCTTCAGTTGACCAATCCTCAGTTTTGTTTAAAAGCCGGTCATTTCTTAGTTGCAAGCCACTACAACCTAGTCTATTTTGACGTACGGGGTAACAGAGTACAAGCCACTACAACCTAGTCTATTTTGACGTACGGGGTAACAGAGTACAAGCCACTACAACCTAGTCTATTTTGACGTACGGGGTAACAGAGTACAAGCCACTACAACCTAGTCTATTTTGACGTACGGGGTAACAGAGTACAAGCCACTACAACCTAGTCTATTTTGACGTACGGGGTAACAGAGTACAAGCCACTACAACCTAGTCTATTTTGACGTACGGGGTAAGAGAGTAACAGAAACATCGACATTATACAATTATTTTCACTATAGAATACAAAAATCTTAAACATGGACGCCATTTTGTAAAGGGGCATTACTCTAACCTTCCAAAATACTGGACGGCTTAACTATTTTTTTTTACAATAATTAATAAACACATCTTGAGTTGGACAGTGCAATATAGAATCTTTTATTAAGTGCTTGATTAGGACAGTATAATATAGACTCTTATAATAAGGACTTGAATTGGGCAGTGTAATATAGACTCTTATAATAAGGAATTGAGTTGGACAGTGTAATATAGACTCTTTTAAAAAGTGCTTGATTTGGACAGTATTATATAGACTCGTAAAATAAGGACTTGAGTTGGAAAAAGTAATAGAGACTTCTTTATAAGGGTTTGCTTTGAGTTAGCTTCTCGGGGACGTTAGCAATTGATTAAAAAATTCTTATCAAAGACGGAATCTCCATTGTTCCACCTGCTTGCTTCAGGTTGGTCCCCCGAGTCTATGCTTCCTGGTCTCGCATTGTCATTGCTGCTGTATTAAGCTGAGATGACGTGCGTCGTGCGGGTCAGACGGGACAAAGTCTTAGTGCCAGGCACAGCCTCACAGACTTAGCTTGTCGATCAGAAACTTAATCTGAGCGACTTTGTACATGAATATAGACATAGAGCAATAAGGTATACGTTAACAAACACAATGACAAACACAGTAACAATCACATTAAAAAAACAACAGTGGCAACACTCATTGACAAACGCAGAAATTAACGCACTTGTTACTCACACCTTGTGAAAAATAAGGTAATAAAACAAAATCCCTAGAACATAACATCATTCGACCAATTTCTAACATCATTCGACCAATTTCTAACATCATTCGACCAATTTCTAACATCATTCGACCAATTCCTAACATCAATCGACCAATTCCTAACATCAATCGACCAATTTCTAACATCATTCGACCAATTTCTAACACCATTCGACCAATTTCTAACATCAATCGACCAATTTCTAACATCATTTGACCAATTTCTAACATGATTCGACCAATTCCTAACAATCGACCAATTTCTAACATCATTTGACCAATTTCTAACATGATTCGACCAATTCCTAACATCATTCGACCCATTTCTAACATTCGACCAATTTCTAACACCATTCGACCAATTTCTAACATCAATCGACCAATTTCTAACATCATTTGACCAATTTCTAACATGATTCGACCAATTTCTAATATAATTCGACCAATTTCTTACATCATTTGACCGATTTCTAACATCATTTGACCGATTTCTAACATCATAACATCATTCGACCAATTCCTAACATCACTCGACCACTTTCTAACATGATTCGACCAATTTCTAACATCATTCGACCAATTTCTTACATCATTTTACCGATTTATAACATCATTTGACCGATTTCTAACATCATAACATCATTCGACCAATTCCTAACATCACTCGACCACTTTCTAACATCATTCAATCAGTTAATCAACATCATTCCACCAGTTGGCTAACACAATTTCAGCAATTTCTAACATCAAATCCCGTATGATTATATCTAGAATAAGTGCCTAAGGAAAATGAACTAAAAACACTACGTTTCACGCTAATAAGTCAAACATTGAAAACATGCACCACATCTATTTTAAAGGGTGACAAAAGCATTTAAATTTTAATGTATGCAAATGTATATTTTTTATCCTGAACTATATCATCTCGTGCTATAGGATTAGACGGAGCCCAGTCTTGTGATAAACAGTTAATTTGATGAGAAAT